GACTATCATCTTGATAGGATGAGTATGACATACTCAAGTGAATAGCTCTAGTGCAAGTGAGAGATTGTTAGATGTGTATGTTTAAAAGCCATATGTATTATGTGATTTGCAAACAATTATCTCTTTGTGACAATAAAAAGATATATTCATGATATGAAAGTAGTTTATTATTTTGAATATAGTCCTTAAGTATATCATTAGAATATTTATTCTAAAAGATATTTAGAATATGATTGACATGTATTTTCACAACAAAATACTTTAAAGATTTTATGGTCATAGGATACCCGATTGGGCATCATTTATCCGAAAGATTATCACTTCTATTTGTTTAGATAATGAGTTTCATGCTATGTGATATGTGATATCAAAACAAACATGTTGACACTTCTTTTGGGTAGGTTAAACTGTAATAGTAGATAATGATAACATGAAGTTCTTACTATTGTTAATGATTCATCATCTAGACTATAATAGTGCATATAACCTTTAACTTGAGAGAATATGGTTATCTTATACATAGGTGATTAGAGTTTGTTGCTACTTACATATCTATGCTAGTCATGTATGGGTATATGGCATGTGATGATCGTATTTTGTTATGTGTAGGAGCTAGGTGTTCGGCTAAAATAGAATTCATAACCTTGAGTAGACAAAGATAAAATCTTATGCTATCTGGTTATTCTTGATAAACGAGGTTCCGAGCCAAGACGGATAGATTCATTAAAAAAGATTTTTCTAGTAGGAGTATTATAATATCAAGAATTAGAGCCGAGATGAAGTCTTAGTATTTAAGCAATTAGGGTTTGACATTTACATGGCCCAAGCTAAGATATAGATCCCGTAATGATAGGATTCAAATGCACGATAATTATGATAATTGGTTTCTTGGAATTACTTAATCAATAATTCATTCATATCTATTTAGGTAGTCATGACATGATATGCTAGACGTTACTCATGACTTATGGAACTAAGGATACTTTGAGAATATCCTTGGGTAAAGAAAAGAGTTTTATCGTTATGTCAAAGAGTTGATGTCATATTCCTATTGCTAAATAAACATGAACTTGAAAAGTCACACACAATAGAGCTTTTATTGAATGAGTAAATGATCTCATGATTATTAATTAAAATATTTAATTAATTAATAAAATAATAATAATATTAAACTTGTCGATGAGTTTACACAATCCTTTGCATATCCCGAAGTTTAATCCAAGTTAGAGTAAATTAATTATGACTCGATTTATATGAGATATAAATGGTAAGTTAATGAGCTTATGTTAACTAACGAATTAATCAAAATAATCTTAGTAGAAGATTAACATAATCCTAGTGGAAGATTATGTATCTTAACATAATCCTAGTGGAAGATTATGTATCTTAATTGATGCATGCTTGATTTACATGTGTAATAAAAAAATGTTTTACTTGTTGCATGTATGATTGACATATGTCATGAATAATAACATGCATGATGAACAAATGTCTTTGTGAAAGACACTTGTCATCTCTCATGCATGCAAGTTTCTCCACCCAAGATAAGTTGGTAGAAAGAGTAGAGAAATAGATAAAGAGTAAGTTAGAAAGAATGAATGAGTGTCTTGCATTCTCTCATCTCTAATTCTCTAAGTGTAAGATACATGACTTGACCTCAAAAGAAAATAATAACCTTTTATTACTTGAAGTTAGATTACTTGGTGGAAACTAGATATCAATTCTGAAAAATTGAAAGAGAAGATCAAACTATCAAACCAAGTCCTAGACTGAAGGCTCAATCATGTAGAGTTCATGTAGATGAACAAGAAGCTTCACATTTAAGGAGCTTGAAACCGAAATCAACTTATTGGTTTCTACACTACAAAAGATAATCTTTCTACCATTTGATATTTGGTCTTGCATGTGTATTCTAAGTATGCGTTAACTGATTCTTGAATTATGGGCCATGAGACATCTACTTAAGGTATGATAAGATCACACCAATTGTTTGCATTTTGGAATTTTTGAAATTCAACAAGCTTCTGCCGTACCGTCCTACTATTTCCTTCTTACAGCTTCCGAAAAAAATTTCAATGCAAAATGCAAACTGAAAGAAACCTTACTCGGGGGCGGTAACAACGATGCTGCCTGACCCTACCTAAGCATGTATATTTTGTTAGTGAAGACTTGGTGTGAAGCCAGAAAAGTACAGCTCGCAAAATGACACTACATTAACAGCATCTAATCTAACTGCATCACATATGCACGCAAGACGATTACAATCAAGCCACAGTTTTCAACTCCATTCTAATACATGAAAGCAAAGCATAATAGAACAGTGGACGCAGGATGATAAGACTTGACATTATCTGGTTCCTTCTACTCGCCAAATACTTTCCTACCTTGCCAAAACCTTAATATCAGATGCCTAAAAGAAGAAATGTGCAGCTGGTAGTATCAGTCAAATAGAATAGTAAGACCACTGCAGCTTTATACGAATTTCTCCAAGACAACAGATATAATATCTTTCCGTTGCCAATAAATCCGCTTCAACAATCTGATTTTTTTTTTTTTTTTAATTATTGAACCTCATACTTTGCACAAGACCTTATCAAGTGTAGTTAACATTCCCCAGTTAAGCAAAACTCCTACTCCAAGCAAAGGATGTTATTGTCATTATCAGATTATTTGAGAAACAGTTTTAGTGATCAATCATAAAGGGGTTTGGGAGGAAAATCTAGCCCAGAATCTTGAGTACTCCAATCTTGCTACCCCTATCTAGTTCCGTAGACACTTCTAGCTTTTGCATTGGTCAAAATGTGAGACAAAGCCTCTCCAAATATCGATCTGGAACAAATTTCCTTTTATCCACTAAGAACACACCGTATTCTAATAGTATTGAGATGCATGCAAATCCACCATGTAACTTGGAGCATACGCAAAGCATCGGATACACAAGATTTATCTTAAAATTTTGGAAACATCCTATAAGCATCTGACAGGTATTCAGGGGAATATCGCTATCCAATATGGGTTTGTTGCCTGTATAAGTATCTGTGCTACAAAGATTCATATGTCTCCATTTTCGCATAACATTGAGGGCACACAAGCTAAAGGAATCGAACAAAAACTGTATGCACGTTTATGATCTCAAAGAACAAAAATAAAATCAATCATTTCATTGTTAGATGTTTCAGTATGTAGAATCAGTTAAGATGCAGATAGAAATACAAGGGATATCGCAAAATGTTACACGAGTAATTTTACTCTTCAATGCCACATACAAAGTCCAAAAAATTGTATATTTTGCAAAGCATCAATGGAATTGAAGTAATAGCAACTACATGACGTGATAAGAAAAGGTCATCAAATCTATGATTCAATGAGAAGTATTTCATGTAAGCACATTGAGATCTATTCCTAATATATGTAACCCAAATCAAACTCTTCAGAAAAACGAAAGGAAAATGTTAACATTTCCAAGAGCTAAGCAACTAAACAGTAGACACTGCTCGCTGAAGGATATGTTTGCAATCTACTATACTTTATTGAACCTTTTTCATAGGCACTACAGTACTAAAGTAGTGCTAAGAAAACTCTATACACATGGCTGAGGAAAAGAATGCTATGGGTAATGGAAAGATGAGCCAAGGCACGGAGTTCCAGGTCATAGCAGCATGTCTAATGCACTTACAGCGCAGAAATATTACAGATCTCAGGATACTTAAAATTCTAAATCTAGTTTAAATGTCCATGTTTTGCTGTCAGTGGAGAAGAGAAGTAGCTACTTTTGTTGTAGGAAAGCATTCTGGAAGAGGTATTGATGACACTCGCCATTGAAGCACCTTTGATGTCAAGATGAAGGTAAAACTACATAATAAGTACATCAATTTTGAATTTTTTTTTAATCGAGTACGTCAATTTTTATATTTTCTGTTTTAGTATATTAACTTTTTCGAAAATGCCAATCAAGTTTTTCTATCCAATTTTCCATGTAGTGATGATGTGGTAATTAACAAAGAAGACTACATAACTATTTTTGACATTTCTTTTCTTTTCTTCCCCCAACTTGTTATTATTATTTAACAATTAATTAAAAAAAGTGCAAAGCAGCAAGCACACATGCATGCTATATATATATATACACCCATGCATGCCAGCTGCTTTGCTCTTCATCTTTAACAATAATAACAATTTGGAAAGAGAAAAGAAATTAAAAAAAAATGTAGTCATTTAGTCTTTTTTGTTAATTGTCACATCATCACCACATGGAAAATTAGATGGAAAAACTCAATTGGTACTTTCAAAAAAATTAATCTACTAAAACAAAAAAAATAAAAATTGAAGTACTCTATTGAGAAAAAAGTTCAAAATTGATGTACTTATTATGTAGTTTTCTAGAAAATATTAATGTTCCGGTAATACAAGATTCAAATGATATTCTCTTTTATTAACAGTAACAAAAAGCACTTTCCAAAGCATAAAATCATGCTTTTCCAAAATATATTAGGCAAATTTTTGTGATTAAAAAGCATCCTAGAAAGGTATGATAATTGAGCACCTATGAAATTGTCGTGGGTATTCCATTTTCCCTAACCCCGATGCCAAACACCCACCAAATTTGATCAACAGATCCATATGCCTTGTATTTACAAAAAAAGAGCAGATGAATTTGTTAAAATTTCAATTCAACCAAAGGTGATGGGAGAAAAGAATGGAAAGTAAAATAAACAGATCATGCCATAGATAAACTAGCAATAAAAAATAAAAGGAAGAAAAACAACAAAAAGGAAAACAATACAGCAATTTTGATTCTAAATTTCTTTCATTGATTACTCAAAGATAGCAGGAAAACAAATTCAAGTTAATAAAAGAATTCTGCCCAGTAGTTCTCAGAAGCAGAATGAAGACAATATAGCAATCAAAACTTAAACTGAAAATGTTATCAAATTTAAACCTGCCTTTGGCTGAGGAATTACATTACCTACAATTATGACATATTGAACACATTTCACTCACTAGCTCCTTGATCCATGGTGGCCAAACACTGGACGCCGAATATCAAACTGATCTACATACTCCAATGGAGTTACAGTCTCATTCCTAATTCTCTTGATCTTAGGGCTCAACAATCCCCTATGATTAAATCCATAAAGCTTCAGGACCTGGTTATCAGCAAAATTGAAAGCTCTCTCCATGCTTCTCAAGCACCGTTCAACCGAATAATCCCCATAGCTACCACAAGGTTTGCAACCAACAAAATGGGTAACAAATGGCCACCTTTCATCACCCAATCCAGGATGATACTTGTCCATCATCTCCTCATACCGATCCACCAAACCCACCCAATACCCGTGCAAAAAATACTGATTCTCAATATAAACCTTATCCATCCACTGATCCTTCTGCGAAAGCAACAAGTAGATCAAAGCTGACTGATCATCTGCCTCAAAAGCCGGCCTTCCCTTCAAATTGGCTGTCAAAATCTTGCCAGCTTCGTCTCTAATGGCCCCTTTAGGACCCATCGGAGCCCACGCATCAAGCAAATCCAAACTCCACTGACAATTCCTTAACAAAAAACTCCCGGTATTCAAAGCAATCCACTCCTTCTGCTCAAATAACAAATCGGGATAGCCATGAATCACCAAATTATGCTTATCATACTTGGACAACGGGATCTCAAACACCATATCAGTAAACATTGCATCACTATCCATCCACCAAATCCACTCGATTTCGGGGTGGGACAACATCAACCTCCTAATCATTGGCAATTTCGCCCAATACCCAGCAAGTTCCTTATCTAAATGAGCCATATTATAAACGATCTCAATCCCATGAATCCTACAATAATCAATCTTATTCTTTATAGCCTTTAACAAATAATGATCTCCGATCGGGTTATCACACGGGCTCGGGGGAGACCCCGTTAATAGCAAAATCCGAGGCTTATCATTAACAAAATTGGGGAATTCAGGGTTTTGAGTAAGCCATACCTTGCGTTCCTGGTCCCAATTGAAAATTTTGGGACCTAAAGCGTACGTGACATTAGGGTTGATCTCCGATTCTGCAGAATCATCCGGATCGTTGTCGGATCGGATCTCTTCGAGGATCCGGTTTGTCTCCTCGATTAGATTCTGGTTGACAGCGTCGGCGTCAGAGCTACTAAGGCTTCCAATGCCGACAGTACCACGTAGAACGAGGATTGTAACGAAGCCACAGAGGATTGTGATTTTGATGTTGTTGAAAGTCTTGTTGATCTGCCTGCCACGTGGGAGCAGGGTACGAGCTCTGCCGTTGGCGGTGGTTGTTGTGGGTAGACCTCCAGTTCCTCCACCGCCGCTAGCTCTCTTCTGAGCTGCGAAGTTGTCTTGTACCATATTTTTTTATCTCACTGTCTCTCCAAATTCTAGTTATTATTACTAGAATATTAGAGAGTTTTATTAGATGTAATAATGATTTTAGAATCTGCCTCTGTATGTGTTACAAAATAGGAAGACAGAGAGAGAGAGAGAGAGAAATCCCAATTCTCTTTCTTCTATGTGGATAGATTAAGGTAGTGAAGTGATAATAGTTTATTTATAGATCTGGAGTACATTTGATGTTTTGAGTATATATTTTCTTCTCTATAAGACACGATGATGTAAAACCCTACTAGCTAAGAGGACTAGGCGGTGGTAGGCGGCGACGATGATGGGTGCAGAGAGCGTAGGAGAGGAGAATTTCCTTGAAACGACGTGCCTCCACAATCAGCAGTTAGAGAAGTTATTTAATTAAATAAATAAACAAATTTATTGGAAGACAGACAGGTTATGTGCATTTGTCGGATTTTGGGATCATGTTGATTATATTTTATTACTTGGATTTGGATGTCTATTACTGGCATAATTTGTTGGGATTAAGATGAATGTTACAAAAAAAAAAAAAAAGGATTTCTGGTTTTAGGTAAGCAAATATTATTATGTACCGACATGCATACCCTCACTAAAGAATAACATACGATGAAATCTAGATATCAAGTGACTAACAGTAGGGGTGATCGTTCAGTTAAACGGTTCGATTATGCACAATTCGATTCAGTTTTTGGTTAATCGAATTTGAAAAAATAAAAATCAAAACCGAATCAAAATTAATTCGATTTGAAACCGAATTATTTCGATTTGGTTTCGAAATAATTCGGTTTAACCGAAATTTTTTTAAAAAAAGATCTTGTCTAACTTCGATGATGCAAAGGCCAAAGAGTACTAGAAAAACAAGACACAGCTATGCTGTACAAATATGAAATATGTTCCGAGCCATTAGAGTTAAAATAAAAAATAAAAAGTTTGACTTACATGATGCACATGATATGTATACAAAAAAATGCATATGCAGGATAGATAGACATAAAGTTTGCCATTAGACCGTCTAAGTAGATACAAATTTGAAAACAATGTGGTGAGTCCAATGCTCTTGCACCACTTAGTGAGACCAAAATCACAAATCTAAAATAAAATTTAGTTAAGATTGTTTCTTTTTCACTAACAAACATTAGTTATTATTAATCTAAAAAGGTAAGTAAGAATAATTAAAAAAATGTATTGCTTGATACCTAAGGCTTAAAGTCTTTTGTAAACAAAATGTTAGTAGCCTTAATATCTCTATATATTATTCTTATTTGGCAACCTTCATAAAGATATAGTAAACCATGAGTTGTCCGTAATGCAACCTTATGCCCGACATGCCATGCCAATCTCTCTTTTGAACTTTTAAAATTTAGCACTTGTAAGAAAACGAAAAGCTTTTCAAAACCGAGAACTTGAAATTCATGAACTAACCATAAAGCACGAAGCTAAGCCGCCATGTGCGTACAATTCAAGAACAAGGTGCATTCCTCCTTCAACTCCATAGCCAATCAACTTAGCTATATTAGGATGGTTCATATGGGCCAAAATCCCCATCTCGAATAAAAAGTCCCCAATAATCTCATCAATTGTTCCTTGTGTTGGTCGTTTAATTGCTACAATTTTTTCATTTTGCAAACACCCTTTGTAAACTTTGGCATAATCGTCTTTTCCAATTAGATTTTCTACACACCAAAAACTAAACTTCATAAACAATTCATAATATTATTAAACAAATACTCGCTAAATTTTTTAAAATTGAGCCATGTTTACACTCCAAGAGTGTGTATTACATGTGTGGCTTAAAAATCTTATATATTCTTGTTCAATTCTGTTTGCTAACCAAGTACATCTCATGTATCACATAACGAAGGGAAACAAGGAAGGATAAAAAATGGAAAACATCACATAACAAAATAAAAACCTTGGCTAAAATTGTTGGTTGCGAGCTTGGAGCTCAAAGAGTGCGAAGTTGATCCTTAAAGACATAAAATTGCCTAAATCGGCATTAGAAAAGAGATTCGTTATAATGCTTTCTCTCATGCTATTGCTCTTTCTCATAGAGAGCTTTAGGACACCGAGAGGATGCAATGTTCCTATAGGATTCTTCGATCTACTTCTAAGTAATTTGACAAATCCTTGCCAACAAGAAGCTCGCTTTGAAACTTTTTGAGCGGACTCATCCGATGTGAGTCCTTTTGAAGAACAACTTTCCGATTCCTCACTCCTAAAGTAGTCTTCAAGAACTCCAACCGGAGAGCTTATATCCACCTTTTTCTCCATATATATGTAAAACATGTGATTATTTAGTGTATTGCAATATAGAGATATAGATTTGAGAGGTAAGAAGTGTAATGGTGGAGATGTTACCTCAAGTAGAAAGGAGCAAACAGAATGCTAAAATAGAGTATTGGGTTTTGCTTTATCCACTAGCTAATAACGAGTCGACTTACCATAGATGCCTTATTTTCCCCGATCCGAACAAAGTATGAGAAGAAAGAGGAGAAAATATAGAATATGAAAGGAAAAGAAGGTAAAAACAGAGGCCTAGCATAAGTGAAGAGGAAAAGAGTGGAAAACGTCAATGACTACATCTTGTCTTTCGTGTTTCGACTTTAGCGAGAATGAAGATTACCTAACTTAGGGTTAGGGATTTAGAAATTAGGATTTTTTTCGCTTTGTATTTCGGTTTTTAGTCGAAACCAAATTTTTTTTTCAAAAACCGAACCGAACCGAAATAATTTTGGTTTTTTGGTTCGGTTAAAAATTGTATAATTTTATATTTAAAATCGAGCTAAATTTCATAATTTGGTTCGATTTTGTTTTATTTTCGATTAACCGAACCGTTTGCTCACCCCCAACTAAGAGAGCTCGAAGGCCGGCTAGACATATAAAGTAGTTGGATTAATAGTATGAAATGCTTCTCTATTCTTAGGATTTTTTAATATAGTCTTTTTATTTTATTTATTTATTATGCCTTTCTACTTTCAATTATTTATTTTTTAATATGGTTCCTCCAAGGATTTTGTAGTCAATTTTTCAATTAGAAGTGACATGAAACAAAAAATATGCCACATGTCGTAAAATATTAGATTAATTTAACACCTTAAAAAAAATTAGAAGAATTATGAAAAAATTCTCGATCATCTCTCAAAATGTTCAAGTACTTTTATGATAGGAAAATCATTAATCTTTTCTTTTGCATAAATCTTTGAATCCGGTAATCACAATCCTTACTAAGTTCGAGATTTTTTATATTAAATTATGGCTTAATGGAATCTCATATTCTAAAATTTCATTTTCTTTTGTAGGAAAATCACTATTAAAGATGTATAAAAGAAGTATTCCATTGATCTTCGTGTTCTTCATGAGACTGTGGTATGCCTAAAGAAAATAGTAGGTCCAAACAAAAGACATGTGAACAATTGTGCACCTTCCTTATAGGAGATCCATAGTTATCATAAGTAAAGCTTGAGGGTAAATAAGTAAATAAGGATGTCTCTGAAAAGATTCAAAAGGTATGCATTTAATAAAGGCACGCTTCAACCACCTACTTAGTCTTATCAATAGTGCGCATGTCACACATGTAGCCTCTAAATCATCCATGTGTCTTGTCAAAAGGCACAAATCAATCAAATGAGACCTAAGTCCCAAACGGACGACTACTCGTTATAAGGCCAATTGTCCTCCTAAAAAAAAAAATGAACTTTTTTATCCTAAAGTGTCTCGGTTAGAAAAAGGAAGACACTACTCTTTTTTACTACCACTAAAGGAATAAAGCATTTAATGAGAACCCTCCAATAATGACATCAATTAGATTACTACTCATCATTACATTAAGCTCTAAAGCAATCACGGGTAAAATGCAATGATAGTAGAGTACCGATACTTGTTAGTTCACCCACTAATACTAGAGTGAAAGGATGTTCATGTCATTTCCACCATGCAAGTGGCACCTACCATTACCTATATAAAAGTCCAAACCACTACAAAGAAAAAGGTTTCAATGTCTCATTAAGAAACAATTCCAAATTAGATTATATATCTTGTACGATTGTCTCTCATCTATAAATTACTCATAAATTATTAAATACATCCTTTAAACAAGTATTTTTGGGCCAATTCGTCACCTTTCGATCACTAACTTAATCATTGAAGAATCTCTCACCCAACTAAAAGGACTTGTATTATGGGTATCCGAGTGCAAATGGAATATCCACCACTCTTAGTAATTATCACGGCTTATGTGAAAACCACGAGTTCTCAATTTTACTCAACAAGCAAATTAACTAATTAGTTGACATCGTTTGTGGCGACTAATCAAATAGCTAGTTTTTAGTATTTTATTTTTATTCCTCGGAATGTCTTCAAGTTCAAGCATAACAAAACAACTAGAAATTCCTGGTCATTCCACCCCTTTAAACTTCATTAGTCCTAGTGCAATACCTCCAACCTTGTACCTAAAGGTTTGAGAATACTATCATTAACCTATATTCAAGGTACAATAAATATTAGCTAACAAGGCACCGTGACTTAATTTTTAATGTTTAAAGTGTAACTTATGCTATAAAAGTCTAAAATTGACAAAGTAGGTCTAACACTTTAACTAAAAGGCATTATAAATTTTTTGTATCATAGAATTTTAATTACGTTCTTTGGATTGGAATAACTGGAGTCGTGACGATCGATTGTCCTAAATTCTTTTTTTATTAGTTTGTGTAAACTTATTTAGTTATAACTCATTATTATTATTTAATTACTTATCTTTTTCTTTAATTATAATTTACTTTTTTACCGTGTAATTAATTATATTGTTTTACTCGTTTTAAGGTACTAACATGTGATGAATAACCGAAAGTAACTACACTAACTATGAGTAAACTACCACTTTACTATTGATACTTTGGTTATATACAAACTACTATTTACATACAAAACCAGTTTATTGCCAATCGTTACAAAATTAACGTATTGACTAACTACAATATTTTAGGGAAACTCCATATACTTGTTCATTGCTTTTAACATAACATAAAACAATCCAACTAACCCTAGTACATATAAATAGCGGCTAGTACCGTAATCAAAACAACATGCGATAGGTTAACCTAGAAGCCGAAACCCCACCCAAGGTATATACGTTTAGTACATCCCTTGAAAATCGGCTCGATAGAGAAGTAAGCCATAGTACCTTAATTATCTACATCATAAGAAACTAAGTGAGCGATAGTTCGGTAAGTTAACTTATGAATCTCGTGTGTATAAATGAATATGCTTATGTAAAATACCGGTATATGTATATCAAATCCTTTTTCCATAATTGCTCTTCATCTTCGTGTCCTTTAGCTTCCGCCCATGTGTCATTTCTTTCTCCTTCAAAAGACATCTCGGCATTTTCACACATGGGTGTGTCACTCCTTCTACCCAAGCCATATAGATTGCTACTTGCTCATGCATCTTCTTAGCTAAACATACACACGGTTTCCTACTTTGTTTCACACAACCAGTAGCTTTTTCCTCTTCTAAGTCATACGACCATATGTCTCATTTGGTTCTTTTCGTGGCTTTGGCTTCTCATGTTCCTTAGCTTGAGTTTATTCTCTTCGATTTGCCATTTTTCCTACAAAATCTAAAATCATTATCTTAATTTTAATCTTAATTGACTTAATATAATACAATAGGCACTATTAAGTTCAATGTCATAGGGCATAAAAGTTATGTAAATCATGCATCGATCAAATACCACCACACTTAAAATTTGCTAGTCCTCAAGCAGAAAAAACAAAACAAAAACTTAACTCACTTTCATTGGAATCATGATTTCAATTAGCATATGCAATAAGCCTTTAATCCTCTTAGTTAATCATAGTGGATGAGTTATGTCTCGTGATGGTTTTTAGAAGATAAACGTACAAAATCTTAAATGAATGTCATGCTAGTATGATTATTCTTCAAAGATTGATTTTTAATTTAGAATCCTTCAAAATTGAACAATAAAATAAATCATTTTTAAAAATATTATTCTCATATACATGTATAGCTCTAAATCGATTTATGCGTCTTTATAACCAATCATAATTCAAGCATGTAACATTTATCTTGCCCTTACCCCTTTTCACTACTACATGCAACGAGTAATAAATCAAGGTTTCCTTTTCTTAAAAGTTTTTCTTACTTCAGCATTCCAATCCTTTTTAAGGCCTTTAACTATTCTTTCTTAAGTAATTCTTCATTAGAGTCACGGGGCCGATATCTATTTTCTTTTATAAATGGCATGATCGTATGACTTTTTAAGCCTCATTGGTGACTTTTCTTCTCCTTGTTTTGGTTTGGGGTTCCTTTGCTTCAATTCACTATTTTTCCTATAAAACCCAAAACCATCATCTTGATCTTAATTAACTAAATATAATATAATAAACACTAGAAAGCTCAAGGTAATTGAGCATAAAAATCATGATAATTATGCCTTCATCAAATACCCCTATACTTAAACTTTGTTAGTCCTCAAGTAAAACAAATTAAACAAAATCTAACTCACTTTCATAGGAATCACGATTGTATTTAGCAAATGCAACAAGCATTTAAACCCCTAGGTTACCCCTAGTGGATGAGTTATGTCTTGTAAGGGTTTTTAGATGATAAACCCACAAAATATCCTAAATAAATGTCATGCTAGTATGATTATTCTTCAAACACCGATACTCAATTCAAAATCTAGCAAAATCGAAAAATCAAGTTGATCTTTTTCAAGATATTAAAGGAATCATAGTTCCATTCAGCACATATAATAAGCCTTTGAACCCCTAGGTTACCCCTAGTGGACGAGTTGTGTCTCGTAAGGGTTTTCGGATGATAAACCCATAAAATATCCTAAATGAATGTCATACTAGTATGATTATTCTTCAAACATAGATGCTCAATTCAAAATCCAACAAAATCTAAAAATCAAATCTATCATTTTCAAAATATTATTATCATATCGATCCATATCTCTAAATTGATTTATGCATTTTTATAACCAAACACAAATCAAGCATGCGACTCCAATTTTACCTTTACCCTTTTTCCACCACTACAAGAAAAGTAATAAAATTGAGATTTATTTAGTTAAAACTTTTCCTTTTTTAGCATCCTAATCTTTTTGAAGGCTTTTAATAGCTTTTTTCTAAATGATAACTTGCCTTTTTATGTGACTATCGACATTTGTTATGAAGGTAATCGGTTATTTACAAAGTCATCAACTTAAGGTGCTTTATGTACTTATAATTCTAATTGTCATTTGA